AGTTAATGTTTGTGAACTTAGTGAATGATACTAATACTTTTGACTAGTTTTCCTGGTAAAACAGTTGATGAAGAAAACTCACAAAGGAGATTGAGATCAGTTTTGTGAATAAATATGCTTAAATGTTACATTCTGACTTTATTGAAATGCTGTGAAGTGAAATAAAATGTCACTGAATCAACAATAACTTTTTTAGTCTTTTCATATAGGACTACTGATTTGGTTTATGTGATATTACAGGAGAAAGGAAGAGTTGAACTCAAATATGTTGAAATAATTTTTACCTTTCATAGAGAATTTTAATCCTTTATTATAGGAATCTTGGATGTGATGAGTAGTATTTGACGAAATGTGAAAATACACTTTCGACTTCATAGTAATAAAGGTTAGGCTGCTGTTACTAGTCTAGTTTGGTAATTGGGATTAAGAGTCCGGTGGCCTAGTAAAAAGTTGTGCTGCCAACCCACAGACACAGCGTTTTGAATTTTCTAGCTGTTCTGGAGGAGAAAGATGAGCAGCCTCCTCTTGGTGCATTTTATCCCCCTCTTGAAAACCTGCTGGAGAGTCAGCTGGGGATGGGTCTGACTTCATAGTACCTAACAACAGTACTAACAAAAAAGAAAATAACTTACTTGTTATTTATATATATTGCCTGATATATATACCTTCCTTTTTTTTTCTTTATGAAGATTTCACCTTAAATTGCTCTCTCTTTTTTTCTTGTGTACCATCAAATCAGATCAGACTGGCAAAGGAGGAGATTGCCTCTCCTCCAGCAGAGTATTTGGTAGATTCGAACTGCACTCCTTTGGAATTGCAGTGCAGCTTCTTGCCACTAGGCCGCCAGAGCTCCCTCTTTAAATTGCTCTTAAGAAAAATATATGTACAACCTTTGTTTTAGGTACTGCTGTGTGGATTTTCAACTCCTAGTTCTTACATATGACAGATGTGCTTTATGGCATTTCTTAAGTTAACTGTGACTTTCATCTCCAGCTCTCTCAGAGTTGCTGGAGGAGTTCAAGCCATTGTGCTAATAGAACTCCTTAAATGCAGTCTAAAGGAATGAAAATAACAATTTTATTTTTTAATTATTTCTAAAGACTTTAGAGAGACATGCACCAGTTCTGAAACTAGTCATGTTATAAACACTGATTTAGTTACTGCTTTCATCTGAGATTGAATTAAGTGGATTGAATTAAATGTTGGATTTTAATTAGAATGTCTATGCCAGTTTTAAGAAAGAAAATTGTACGTGAAAATGTAAAGAAATTGCTTCAGTAGACTAATGGAAGGTCTTAAAACTTGGAATTCAAGGTGAGAAACTACCAAATCGTAGCTAATATCCAGATTTTCTGAAGAACATTAGAAAGTTTTTAGCTAAGAGCTTAAGAAATAGTTGTCTCAGATCATGTCTCTTTGTGTATGTATGCCTGTTTAAGGTTCAGGATCCAAGTTCTTGAAAAGAATCATTCCGTAGGCAATCATATCTGCAAACAGACTACTCTCAGTATGATTGAGACGTTATATCTTACTGATCTCCAGAATGCGCACTTCGAGTTAGTTGATTCTGGCTCATAGTAACTCTGTAGGGTTTGTTGTGATGTACTGTCAAGTTGGAGCTGACCCTCCAGCAGGTTTTCAGAGACAGTAAATCACATGAGAGGAGATTGCCCGTACATCTCCTACAGAGTGTCTAGGGGATTCAAACTGCCTGCAGTTGGCAGCGCAACTCCTTACCAACCAGAACTCCCTCTGTAGGATTTATAAGGCTGTAAAGTCTTATGGGAAAGACTGTCCAATTTCTCCCTCACATCACCTGGGGTAGATTCTTAACTGCTGTCCTGTTGGTTATCAGGCTGATGTGTGTTATACAGTGTACCAGCAGGACTCCTCTTAATACTATGTGATAACTGGTTTGGGGAAAGTGAAGAAACAGGCCTTTGGATTTGGGTGGAGCAGTTGGTAAATGATAATGATATGAATAGGAGATTTAGTAAAAATTAAATGCAGAGAGTATACCACATGAGTATAGCACAGACTACTTCAGAAATTGACCAGCCAAGCTTGAATCTGTAACTAAGTTTGTATATATCCTTTTTTTAGTATAAAATAAAAATTTTATTTAAAAAAAATACTCTGTGAAAGGAATAGAAAACATTAATATTAAAAAAAAAATCATGACTCTTAGGCAGTATTACCATGTGTAGAGAAAAGATTGAAATTGTTTTTGATGTCATCTTACTTGGATCCACAATTAACACCCTTGACAGCAGCAGTCAGGAACTCACTGGGAATGTCAGTTTGAAGACTAAGGTTTGCCTGATTTAAGCCATGCTTTTTTTCAATCACTTCTTATGAGTCTGAGAGCAGAATAATGAATAAAGATGACCGGGGAGAAAATTGATAACTTTGAGTTGTAGTGTGGGAGAAGAGTTCTGTTCCATGGGTCGCCAAAAGAACAAACAGTTCTGTCTTGGAGAAGAAGGTACAGCCACAGTATTTCATAAAGGCAAAGATGGTGAAACTTGATCTCACACACTTTGGACTTGTTGCTAAAAGAATATATTGTTTGAAAAGGGAAATTCTGTTAGGAAAGGTGGAAGGTCAGTGAAAGAGTAAGGCTTTCAGTGACATTGACACAGCAACTACAACAATGGACTCAAGTATGTCAGAGTTGATGAGAGGTGCAGGATAGGATAGGGTTCAGATCTTTTGTCTATAAGTCACTATGAGTCATACTTGACTCAATGACACATAACAGTTCTTGGAAAAAGACACCATTCTGAGAAACACAGAGGGTCAGTAAAAGAGAAGAAGACACTCAAAGACAGTGAATATAACAGACTCAAATGTGGCAAAGATAGTGAGGATGAGACAGGACAGGATGACGTCCAGATCAGTTTTTCCTTGTATGTATTCTTTTATGGCTAAATTTAGGCTTGATTTTATCTCCTCAAAGGGAAAGTTGGATTACCTTATAGCAGATTTTTTCCTGAAAGCTCTATTTTACAATGGGTGAGTATACTCGAATACTTGCAGTATACCAGGTACTTTGAAAGGGTAATGCTTCCTATAAGTGAGGATGGTGAAACTTTTGTTTTACATATTAACAAGAGGAGCCAATCCCTAAGGAAGGGCATGGAGCTCGATAAAATAGAAGACCAGTGACAAGGAAGACCCTCAGGAGAAGCATTAAACACAGCAGGGATTGTGAGAAGGGTGCCAAATTGGACAGTGTTGCGTTCTTTTGTACACAGGGTCACTATTAGAGGCAACTCATTGGAATGTATCAGCAGGAATTATTTAGGAATTGTGATGGTATAGTGGTTAAGCACTTGGTTGCTAATGGAAAGGTTTATAGATAGAAGCCATTAGTTCCCATTTCATGGGAGAAAGATGTGGTCTGATTCCATAAAGTTTACAGACAGCCTTGGAAACGCTTGACAGTTCTGTGTTATCTTAGCCTTACTGTAAGTTGAAATTGATTTGATTGCAACTAGTTTGGTTTTAAGTGTTTTGAGGAATTATTTGTTGTTAGAAACATCTTACTTCCCCCATTTAATTTTAAGCTACTTATAGGCTTGTTATAAGATGAACTAATAATTTGTATTCTATCTTTTATGCCTGTGGTTCTCCTATTTGGGTTCTACGTAGAATACATCTTGAGTTAATATCTTTTTGAGAAATAAAAGGATTAAGTGGCAAGCTAAGAAAAAGCAGAAGTGGTTAAGAGACACCAAGACACATGAAAAGCTTCGAAGGAACCAGGACCAGGAAGCACAGGCTGAGTAAAGCTGCTTTTACAGCAGATGGAAAAGCTTCCTCTAAAGCTGTTACTTAGTGTTTATATTTCTTGTAGCTGAAGTAGTAAGCAATGTCAAGATAAAGAAGATAGAAGGATTTTATTTTATTTGGATAGCCAGTCAACACTCATGGTATCAGTAGCAAAGAAAAACAATGTATTGGGCAGATCTGCAAAAAACTTTAAAATGTTATAAAACAAAGGTGCCATTTTGAGGATTAATGTCTGCCTGACCCTTGTATTTTCAGTTGCCTCATATTGCTAAGGAAACTGGTAAAATTATTTATGCTTTTGAACTATGGTGCTAGTGAAGAATATTTAATATAGTATGGGCTGCCAGAAGAAGAAACAGTTGTCTTTGAAGAGGTATACTAAGAAGGTTCTTGTATAGCAAGGATGGTGAGACTTAGGTCTCATATACTTTATCAAGAGCTACTAGAATATAGGGAGGAATGTTAGGTTTGGTGAACTAAAGGAAAGACCTTCAGTAAAATTGACAGATGCAGCAACAATGGACTGAAACACAGCCATGATTGTAAGGATGGTGTAGGACCTGGCAGTGTTTCATTCTGTTACACATAAGGTTACTGTGAGTCACATTCAACTCATTGGTCCCCAACGATAATAGTAGTCCTTAAAACTACAGTACTCTTAAATTGGTTTTATAATTTATATAGTCCAGTAGAATGTATATTGGAAAGACATTCCATTGAATGTTTTGGTTTTTTTCCCTTTTTTTAAATTTTATTTTGTGTGTGTACCATCAAATTAGACCTAACTGTTATAGGAGGAGACTGCCCCTCTTTCTCCAGCAGAGCATTTGGTGGATTCAAACTGCTTACCTCTGGGATTGCAGTGCAGCTTCTTGCCACTAGGCCACCAAAGCTCACTTCGATTGTGTGATTTCCATCTTGTTAACAAAATGGACAATTGGGAGTTAATGATAAATTTTGGGCAATATTTTTTTCTCCTCTATGTATTAATTTGATTACATTAAATTTAAGTGTATAAAATGTTAATTGGTTTGAGTTTAGTTTAGATAAAACTAAGAATTGTTGAAATGGCTTTGATGTTTGAGTTTATTCCCATTAATGAGATTTGGCCTTTGTTTTGTGATTTCTTTGCCCTTGTGTTTTGATCTTTCACGTTGGACATACTTGACCTGTTTTTGTTGGCTTCCCTCCCACCTCCCAATCAGGTTGAATTGACCAAAGCAATGGTTATGGAGAAGCCTAGTCCCCTGCTGGTCGGGCGGGAATTTGTGAGACAGTATTACACATTGCTGAATCAAGCCCCGGATATGCTACACAGGTAATTTTGTGCCATTTAATTCTGGTTCCTAAGTGGGTACTTTAAAGTTTTTCCCGTTCTTTGTTACATGCCTTATAAGGTTGCTGCATGTTGTCATTAGGTACCATCAAATTGGTTCTGACCCTTCGCTACCCTGTACAGTACAGAAAGAAAACCTTCCCAGTCCTTCACCATCCTGTGCTTAAGCTCATGATTGCTGGCACCATTTTTAAAAGCATTTAGAACTTAAAAATTATATTGTTGTTAGGTGCGGTCGAGTCATAGACGACTCATAGCGACCCTATGAATGAAAGGCCTGAGCACTATTTGTACATAGAGTTTCCGGAGGCAAGCCATTTCAGAAGTGGATGCTGCTCCTGCTTCCAGGCTTGATTTAGTCGGGAAGCTCCAGCCAACACTGTCCACCATGGGTACCCATTACCACGTTGGCACATCACTGTCACAGTGATTTAAATTTATTTAAGACTTAAATTTATTTCCAGAGAGTAGCATCTGAAAATACAAATAATGCTTTTACTTTTATGTTGTTTTTAGTGAGTGTATGTAAGGAGGCATTGAGAAGAATGTGTATGCTTTAAAAAATTCTTTGAGAGAAATAACTCTAGTAGTGCTACTCCATACAGTTTTTGCTATTTATCCGTACATATATATTGGCTTTAGTTAGGTGTGGGGTGTTGTTTTTTTTTTTCTCTCTCTCACCTTGTTAGTCTGAAGTTGTCTTTCTGGAGTATTAATTGTAATGACCACAGTTTTTTATTGTAGAGACATCTTTTAATCCCCTGTTGGTAGATAGGTAGATTGCTTCAGTTACTCTCCTTATTAAAGTGCTATATCATTTAAAAAATATTTTTACAGACTTGTTAGAATAAGGTAGTGATAGTTTTAAAACTAGTATTATCGTTTATTGATCTAAGACTTACTCCTTATCACCTTCTGTCACATATTATCATTTCTAATTTGGTTATGTCTTAATCTCCTCCAAGCTCATTTCTGCAGTCACTGTCTCAGTCCATCTTGTTTTTGGATCATACTCTATTTTGCTGACTTATTTTTCCAAGTGTGATTTCTTTATTTCTGAGACTGCACTTCCTGACAACATACCTAAAGCACGTAAGAGGAAATTTAACCATCCTTGCTTCTTGGTAATCCATGATATGTATTAAGTTTGACTGTGTGGATCATAGCAAACTGGCTGACTGAGAGAAGAATGGGAGTCCCATTAGATGGATCTTAGCTGAAAGCAGGGAATACCAGAGGAATATTTATGTGTGTTTCATTGACTATGCAAAGGCATTTGACTATGTGGATCATAACAGACTGTGGCTGACTCTGAGAAGAATGGGTATCCCAGACACTTGATTGTGCTAATGAGAAACCTATACTTGGACCAAGAGGCAGTAGTCAGAACAGAGCAAGGAAACACTGCATGGTTCAAAATTGGGAAGGGTGTATGCCAGGGATGTGTCCGGTCCCCGTACCTTTTCAACCTGTATGCAGAACAGATCATCTGGGAGGCTGGGCTCTATGAGGAGAAATGCGGCAACAGGATTGGTGGAAGTTTTATCAACAATCTGCATCATGCAGATGACACAACCCTGCTTGCTGAAACTGAGGAGGACCTGAAGCGCTTGCTGCTGAGGGTCAGAGATTGCAGCCTTCAATATGGATTGAGGCTCAATGTCAAAAAGACGAAGATTCTCACCTTTGGACCAATGGGCAGCATCAGGATGGATGGTGAAGAGATTTTACAGCTTTAGTTTGCTTGGCTCCACAGACAACACTCTTGGCACCAGTAGCCAGGAAATTAAAAGATGTATTGCGATGGGAAAGTCTGCTGTTAGTCTGCGATGGGAAAGTCCTCCCCAAAGTACTGAAGAGCAGTGGTGTCTCTCTGGAGACTAAGGTGCATCTGATGCAAGCCATGGTCTTCGCAATCACTTGTTATGCATCAGAGAGTTGGACAATGACCAAGGAGGATAGGAGGAGAATTGATGCCTTTGAGCTGTGGTGCTGGAGAAGAGTATTGAGGGTACCATGGACTGCTAGGAAAACAAACAGATTTCATCCTCGAGAGGGTTAAACTGGGCTGCTCCTTGGAGGCAAGGATTCTGAGGCTCCATCTAACATATGTTGGACATGTTGTAAGGAGGGACTGGTTCTTGGAGAGGGACACATGCTTGATAGGGTGGAGGGACAGCACAGGAGGGGAAGGCCCTCTATGAGGTGGATTGATTCAGTGACTGGGGTAATTGGGATGGGAATGTCAGAGACAGTGCGGTTGGCACAGGACAGAGCAGAGTTTAGGGCTTTTGTTCAAAGGGTTGCTATGAGTCACAAGTGGCTCAATGGCACATAGCAACAACAATAACTCTTCATTTTAACCACAATTCAAAAGAATCTGTTCTTGAGGCTTCTTATTCATTGTCCATGTTCCATATGTATGTGAAGCGTCTGAAATACGATGGCTTGGATCATTCAGGCACTTTGCTTTTCAAACATCTACTTCTAAGGAGATCCTTGATGAAGGTTTTGTCAGTGCAAAACCTTTTTCCATTTATCATGGCCTGTGAGTCCAGTTTTGGGGATTTTCATTTTCTTCACCTTGAGATGTAATCTATGCTGAAGACTGATAGTCTTTTATGTCTTTAAAGTTATATCCTTTCTGTAACAGGTTGTTGATAAGTCTTTTCTCCAGTTCTCATGCCATATTCTTCATACTTCAGCTTCTTGAATTATTAGCTCATCATACATTTTGAATGATACAGTAAAAGGATACAACCTTGATACACACCTTTCTTGATTTAAACTATACAGTTCTTTTTGCGTCCTTCTTCGTTCACTTACAGGTTCATCATGAGCACGGATAACCAACTTAATGCATTTTCACTGAGCCAGAACTGTTGCATAGGTGATTATTCAGCAGAAAAGGCTATTAATTGCATGAGAGGAGATTGCTCATCCTCCTCCCTTGGAGTTGGCCGTGGATTCCAATTGCTTTTGGGTTTTTAGTGCATGGGCCCTGTGGACTACCCCACCAGTGCCCATGAGCAGAATTAAGTGGTCCAGATTCCTGTTCTATTCACTGTTATCAATAATTTATTATACACATTATAAGTGCCATAATTAGTAAAACATAAGTAAACATCTTTCTGATATTCTCTCAGCAAGGACCCTTTTTTTCCTAGGCCTCTTCTGAATTCATGTTTCTGCCAGTTACCTGTTAATGTCTTGATCCAGTTTGATATTAATAATCTGTTTGATATTGTTTAAGTTCTGTTGGATCCTCCTTTTTTTTTGGAATGGGAACTGGTAGGTGGGATCTTCTTTTCAGTTGGCCACATAGTTTATGCCAAGAATTTTGGAAGATATCTAATTACTATTTCCAGAGCTGTCTGTGTTTACTGAAACACCTCAGTTGATAATTCATCAGTTCCTGGAGCCTTATTTTTTTGCTAAGTCCTTAGTGCAGCTTTGACTTCTTCCTCCTCTACTACTGTTAGTTCTTTATTTTATGCTATTTCCTGAAAAGGTTCAGCATTGATCATTTCTCTCTTAGTACAGTTGAGTGACTCTCTATTCCTTCCATCGCTTCCTTCTTTCAGTATTTTCTCCAGTGAATTTTTCAGGATTGCAACTCTAGCCTTACATAGTACTCTTTATCATTCCTTCCTTTCATTTTAGGTTTTCTACATTCAAGATTAAGTTTTAGAGTCTCTCTTCACTTTTAAGAACTGACTGACTCCATTGAGTTTCTGAGCTGTAAATGTTTATGGCCAGAAATTGGCTGTCTTTTTCCTTTGGAGCAGCTGGTGAATTCACATTGCCAGCTTTTGGGTTAATAATGAACTACACCAAGGTGCCTTAATCACTAGGACAAATAACAGCCATTATCTTTGAATTGGTGCATTTCATGTGATAGTGCTGATGAAGACAAAAAACCAATGAGAATGTATATGATTTAAGTTAGAGGGAATAAAATCTGAAGTGCTTAACTGTCAGAAATAGTTGTCAGAAATACCTAAAATTATATCAGTGAATTACTGGGTTTTAATGGGAATTCTCAGAGTGCTTTCTCAAAATGTAAGAAGGCAAAGGATTGGATGGGAAAGATTGATAGCCCTAACTTATGTTATTTTCTTTCTGTGGTTAAATAGGAACTTTATTTTACTTTGAATTGCCTTTCTGATATGAACTACAAGAACTTTCAACATAATCATCTTTCCTGACTTGTAAAATAGCATTCAGCTTCATTGACATAATATATTCCCAGTCTGTGAATACTGACTGAGTACTAGATACAGAATGGATGATTATATACAAATATGCTAAGGGATACACATTCTCGTTTTCAAGATTATGACCAGTGAGACAGATAGGTCTGAAATGAAGAATTTGTGATGTTAGGGTACTCAGTTATAACAAGTAAATTATCTTCCTGTTGTACAGATTTTATGGAAAGAATTCTTCTTACGTCCATGGAGGATTGGATTCAAATGGAAAACCAGCAGATGCGGTCTATGGACAAAAAGTAAGTATGCTGAGCGTTATTAGGGCATTAAGTTTGTAGAAACTGATCCATAAAATTGAGGTGGAAACATGCTTTTAGATACTCACGTTTGCCTTATTTCCTCAGGAAATCCATAGGAAGGTGATGTCACAAAACTTTACCAATTGCCACACTAAGATTCGTCATGTTGATGCTCATGCTACTTTAAATGACGGCGTGGTGGTCCAAGTGATGGGGCTGCTCTCTAATAACAACCAAGCTTTAAGGAGATTCATGCAGACATTTGTTCTTGCTCCTGAGGTATGTTGACGAGGGATTGTTGATGTTATATGGTAATCAAATAGATGAAAAAAGAAGCAGTGAAAGGTCATGAATATATATTTTTTAAGTTTAAAATTTTATTGTGTGATTTCAAAATGAAAGAATAAATAGGAGGCTCAGTACCCCATACCTAAGAGCTATTTTCTCTCCTTTTTTAAAAAAAAATATATATATATCCAGGTTTTTTTTCTAAGAGTATAGTTTTTCTTTTATGGGTTCCCCCTCTTACCTTTTTTGTGTACTGTTGTATCAGATCAGATCCAGCTGGCACAGGAAGAGATCACCCTTCCTTCTCCAGTGGACCATATGGTGGATTCGAACTGTGTGCCTTTGGGATTTACTTTATCTTTTTTAATTCTTTTTTTATATACTCTGAAACAGAGTGCTTAGATATTTTCTTTCATGACTGTAAAACATGTATTAAATTCAAAAAGTGTGGATATACTAGAGATGTGTATATAGTGTAAGTAAGTACTATTGAAATCTTACATCTTCCTCTTCATGAACATGGGATGACTTTCACTTCCCTATATGAATTTATTCTTAGAAGTTTTATTTATTCAGATGCTTTTGTAGGTGGAATTGTTTTCTTTTTCAAATGGTTCATAGTTGATACGCAGACATATAACATTTTTGGTATTAGTTATGCTCTGTGACTTTGCTGCATTCTTTATTAGCTCTCCAGTAGAGCATCTGGTAAATTTGAACCACGCACCTTCGGGATTACAGCACAACTTCTTGCCACAAGGCCACCATAGCTCTCTTAAAATTATCCTTCTTTGACCATAATTCTTGCTATGTTGAGTCTTACTCTGATGGTTACAAATGGTGACTATCTTAACTTTATCCTTAAAGTTAGTGGGCATTCTGTGGTAGCACTTTTCCCATCTCTCTTGATTAAAATAAATGAATTACCATCACTAACATTTTGATAATTAAAATGCCCAATATTTGACCAATGTGAGCTCTTCACACAAGGATCCATGTCCTTTTAGTATGTTCTTGACTTATAAATATGCAAACAATGCTTGTTGTATGATAAGTTACTTAGTTTCTTTGTCTTCTTAACACGTTGCCACAAATGATGAGAAAATGTGTTTCTAAGCACGGTAGTCAAAGGCAAAGGCAACGGGTTAAGAAAACTCTAACCTCAGATTAGTATTATGCATAAACTATCATTTAATACTCAAAACTCCTGGTTCATTTTTCTGTTTCATTTTATAGATGAAGAAAATTCAGAAACTGGATTGCTAGTAAATGACATAGCTAGATTTAGACTCAATTGTGTCTTAGGGGACCAAGCTTTTTATGCTACACTACCCTTGAGAAAGGGCTGTTCTTGTTGGGTACAGCTTTTTTAGGAATTTTGAGTTACTCTACAATCTACTACAGTTGAAAATACTGGTTCAAGAAATTATTTTCTGAGGTACAGCCTGTGGCATCCTAAAGTTTATCAGTCTGTTGTGAAGGATAAATATTTCGAGCAAACAATATATTTGAGTGCACTTATATTAAAACCATAGTGTTTAGTAGGATCTTTAATTTTAGTAGTATTGTTTTGGGACAGGCAGTTATTTATTAATCAGAGAGTTCTGGTGGCCTAGTGGATAAGAACTTGGGCTGCCAACCTAAAGACGCTTATTTGAATCCACTAGCTGTTCCATGGAAGAAAGATGGGCACTCTCCTCTTGTGCACTTCACAGACTCTGAAAACCCACAGGAGGTTCAGCTGTGAGTCAGTTCTCACTTGACAGTGAGTCAGTCAGTGAGTTACTTGTTGGTTATTATCATGTGCGATGGAGGATATATAGCCTGATTTGCCTGCACATACCTCTCGTGTTGCCTGTCACTTATTTCTACTGGTACCAATTTGTGTATGTAGTAGTATTTATTAGCCTTTATTATATTGTCTGTAATTCTTGTGTACCTTGCTATTTTACCTTTTCCTTAATAGTGGATTAATCACCTCCTTACTGCTTTTCCATTCATTCAATCTAATATATCTCTAATGTTTTGGCTTTTTGAAAATACTAAATACGTGAAACTCTTGCTGATATTTGCAGGGCTCTGTTGCAAACAAGTTCTATGTTCACAATGATATCTTTAGATACCAAGATGAAGTCTTTGGTGGTTTTGTCACTGAACCCCAGGAAGGTAAGTAGTTAAAAAAGAATTTTGTAAGTTACTTGCCTAAATATTTTCTTTAATGACATCATAGTACCTTAAATATAGATTTAAAAAAAAATTTTAACAGTCAAGACATGTGAAGGTTCTTAGTTTTTCTCCCCATTTACAAGCAAACAGGTTAGCCAGCTACAATTTCATGGCTGTGAGTAGAAGGTACCAACTCCTGGGTCACAAATGGACAGATTATTACACCAGTAACACTTTTTTCTGGAGGGAAACATTACTTTTCAGATTGTTATACACCTGTTTTTTAAAATACAGTCTGTGGTCGAGATGGCCATTTCCTTAAATTACAGGATACAGAGAAACACACAGATCTATGGAGACATTTTTCTCTGAGTCATTTCCAACTTGGAGTAGTTACATAGGCTGGATTGGCTGTATGACTTCAGAATTCATGTTGTTAAACAGAACACTACAATTGATGCACAACCATTAATTTACCAGATTTTCCTATTTAACTTTGTGTATTTTTCTTGATAGTGGTAACTTTTGTGAGCTCTGGTCATTCCTCTCTGGTAGTTTGAATTCACCATGACTCCTTAGGAGAGAAATAGGTAGTATCTTCCAGTGCAACTTTTAAAATCTCAGCAGTCTTAATAAAATGTCTACTTTGAGTCAGTTCTGACTCTATAGTAATGCCATGTGTTTTGTATTTTGCTTATGATTTTTTTGATCTGAAGCTATATTGTGCAAGTAAATACAGTTGCTCCCTGTTTGGAGTGAGCCAACCAGGAATTGAAGATAATCTGGGTATGGAGAAAATGGCTAAATAGACTAAAGCAAAAGACTAAGCAAGGCTGTGCTGTGCTATTTACATTTTATTAGGTATAATAAGTAATCCAGAGGGATTTTGAGGTGCATAGGAGGATATACGGAGGTTATGAACAGTTACTACACTCTTTTAAATAAGGAACTTACTTAGTCCTTGAGTTTAGTTTCGGCAGAATGATTTTTTGTGTGGTTACTGAGTGATGATTGCATGTTTGTGAATTCAGACAGCACCAACTTTTTTCTTCCCTCCCTTAGAATCTGAGGAAGAAGTAGAGGAGCCAGAAGAAAGACAGCAGACACCAGAAGTGGTACCTGATGATGCTGGAACTTTCTACGATCAAACTGTCAGGTGAGGAAAATTTTGTTTATACATCTTTCCCTGTGTTGAATGTTCATGTATTCTTAAAATTACCTGAAAAACAAAAGTAATTTTTCTGAAGAAAGGTTTGATTTTTAGTATTTCTGAGCTGGTAGTTCACCCTCCCCTGGTACCGTCTTCTACAAAGATCTGTAGATCTTCTAATGAAGATTTGCAGATATTGAAGTTTTCATCTCTAACTCCTGGGGTTGCCATATATCTGAACTGATTTGATAGTGTGGTAACTTTTTTTTTAAATTTATCTCTCACCTGACAAATAGAAAAAAATTATTTCATGTTAAAAATCAAACCATTTCTGTAGACTCAATTTTGAGTGATTTAGGGATTCACACTGATTTCAGTTGGTAGTTCAACACTGTGCCACTAGGACTCCCAGTGTTTAATAACACTGCTGTCAAGCACATTCCGACTCATGATGACCTCCATCAAGTATTCAGTGGGATCAGAGCTGCTTCATCCTCAAGATTGTCTGACAGAATTGATCCACTTTTTATTTATTTATTTTATTTTATTTATTTTTTTTAATTGATCCACTTTTAACAACCCAATAGGGAATGATGGCCTGTACCTCCTGGGCACCTTAATGATAAGCCAAATCAAACTGCTTAGAATTGATTCCTACTCATTGTGACCTGTTGTCATGTTTTGAGTCTTCAAGACTTTATGAGAGGCAGCTGCTTATCTCTTCTCTTGAGTGACTGGCTGATTTTTAACCACAGTTCCTTTTGTTAACGCCTTTAGCTTTGTTTAAAACTTATGTTCACAAGAAGCTGCAAGGCCAAATGCATGCCATTCAAATCTACCAGATGCTCTGTGTTGGAAGGATGGGCAAGCTCCTCGCTTGTGATTTACAGCCTTTGAAAACCCATTGCATCAGCTATGGATCGGTTCCAGCTCTATAGACCACAACCAACCAGACCACCAGGGCTCCCTACTGGAACTCCTCTAATCAGTATCTAAACCAGTTGGTTTTGAGAAAAGTCTGATTTAATTTTTTATGAAGTACTTTGGGGAAAAATATAAATATACAGATGCTTAATGAGAGTCTCAGTATAAATGTTCAGTAGTGTTCTTTGTTTTTGTTTTTTAAAACCCTTGTGTCGAGGACTGACTTTGAATAGATCACAGTGAGGGGAGCTGCTCTGCTTTTTAGGAAATCATGACCCAGAAGGAGATCATCTAAGAACGGCTTAGCACTGGGCTCCCGATGAACATGTGGTGTCACAGGCAAAGGGGCAGCTGTCTTTCTGACTGCTCCCTAGATGTTCAGTTGTTTTTAAATAGCAAAAAATTTTAATAATTCAGAAAACAAGGGGAATGAGATAAATTAGAGGGTTTTCTTCCCCCCCTCTTCTTTTTTAAAGAAGTATTTGAGATAAAAATATATATTTACTTGTTGCTACGTGACACTCTTAATTTCTTAAGTGTTTTAAAAGATGTGGGCTAATCAGGTGTACTGGATTAGAATCTCCTCAACTTCATACCATCTCCAGCTCACAGCATCCCTCCTTTGGATTTCTGAGGTTGTAAATCTTAGCAGGGATCACCCGTCTTTCTGCTTAGGATCTGCTGTCATAGTCCTCTGGTTCCAGCTCACAGCAGTGGGTGTAGAATGAGGATAAGCTGGTGGATTAGAATTTTGGGGTGTGGTATGTCTAGGTTTAACAAGTATTCTTGGTATGTTTTTATTCTCTCTCACTCATTGCTCTGGAGTCAGAACTTACTCATAGCTAATTTGCCACTAGAATTTCAAAGAGACTATATGCCCATTCTTTGGAACCACTTATGGATTAGCAGTGCAACTGCCAAGGGCTCTGTGACCAGAGCTCCTTGTTTTTTATTATAGGACACTTAACCTTGAATACAGGGAGTTTTCATGACTGTAAGTGGGTTAGGCATTGTGGTGTTAACCCAAAGGTAGGGAGTTCTAATTTAATTCATCATTGGCTTTATGAGATAAAGGTGGACAATGGTCTGTTGTGAATTAGTCCAAACTTGACCTCAGTGAATTTGAGGTTTTGTTTGATGTGTGGTTTTTTTAAATAAAGTACAGTTTTACTTTTGTTTTCATGGTTTTCTTACCCTCTTATCAGTAACCTTCTATTGTGATTGCTTTGAATGAAACCAGTAATTACATTACATAGTACTGCTTGAAAGTTTTTTTGATCCCTGTTGTTACTGAAGTTTGTTAAGTACTGAGTTAGAACCAGCTTTTCACAGGCACTGTGTTGCACTGGTGGAGATTGCTCATCTTCCTTGGAAGAGCTAGTGAATTTGAGGATATAGCTAGAATATTGTCACTTTTGACTATGCTAGTTGACCTGGATTTTGCCTGAGACTATGGAACTGAGTTCCCAGGCCCTGAGACTCATTTTCCTCAGTGTATTTCGTATGGTGGGAGATTTAGATTACAATTACAAGAAAAATAATGGTTTTGGTTATTATAATTTGATGCTAGTTCAGAGATCTTCTTGAGAGCTTTTAAAAAGATTACTCTTTTTAATATTCAGACATATAAATATGATTTTAATATTCAGATAAATGAGTGTGATTCTTGGATCTTTTTCAGTAGAGGATGCTATTTTGGGGTCTGGGTCTCTTGTTAATTAGATGATGATAATTTGTTAGTAGAAGCAGAATGATGTAGCTCAAATTTGTCTTTGAAAGCAATGACTTAGAAGAACATTTAGAAGAACCTGTTGCTGAACCAGAGCCTGAACCTGAACCAGAACCTGAGCAAGAACCTGTATCTGAAATCCAAGAAGAAAAGACTGAGCCAGCATTAGAAGAACCTGCTCCTGAGGATGCTCAGAAGAGTTCTTCCCCAGCACCTGCAGATATAGTGCAGACAGCTCAGGAAGACTTGAGGGTATGGAGCACCTTTCTTTCTTTTTTTTAAATTACTGTCACAGGAGGAGATTGCCCCTTCTTATCCAGTAGAGCATCTGGTGAATTAGAACTGTGTGCCTCTGGGAATGCAGTGCAGCTTTTTGCAACTAGACAACCAGAGTGCCCTGGAACACCTTTTTTTTTTTATAATTTATTACTAATTTCAGTGAAAATTTACAGAGACATTGGGTTTCCATTCATTCATTGTTGCATTTTTCTGCCCTCCCAACTCTTTTCCCCTAGTACACTACCCTCTTGGAAAAGTTGAAACACCTTTTTAAAAAAATGTTTCTGAGAATGTTTCCTTATTTTTCATTGAACTTTGTCAGTACATTTTCATATACTGAAATTGCTTATGTGTTATGTGATATGTCTTCCAAAATCAAAACTCACCTTTTTTCCCTCCTAAGAAAACTTAAAATACGTAGACCAGCCATTTTAGGTGCTGTTGTGTCACTATATTAATAATCCCTCATTTTTTCTAATTTCTTTAAAATATGGCATATTGTTACATAGTTTATAGTTGTTGTTATGTACCCTCAAGTCGCTTGCGACTCATAGCGACCCTATGTACAACAGCCCGAAACTCTGCTCTGTCCTGTGCCAACCGCACTGTCTCTGATACACCCATCCTGATTACCCCAGTCACTGAATCAATCCACCTCATAGAGGGCCTTCACCTCCTGCGCTGTCCCTTCACCCTCCCATGCATGTCCCTCCTTACAACATGTCCAAAGTATGTTAGACGGAGCCTCAGAATCCTTACCTCCAAGGAGCCGCCTGGTTTAACCTGTTCCAGGATGAATCTGTTTGTTTTCCTAGCAGTCCATGGTACCCTCAGTACTTTTCTCCAGCACCACAGGTCAAAGTCATCAATTCTCCTTCTAGTCTCCTTGGTCATTGTCCAACTCTCTGATGCATAACAAGTGATTGCGAAGACCATGGCCTGTATCAGACGCACCTTAGTCTCCAGAGAGACACCATTGCTCTTCAGTACTTTGGAGAGGTCCCTAACAGCAACCTTTCCCATCGCAATACATCTTTTAATTTCCTGGCTACTGGTGTGCCAAGAGTGTTGTCTGTGGAGCCAAGCAAACTAAAGCTGTAAAATCTCTTCACCATCCATCCTGATGCTGCCCATTGGTCCAGTGGTGAGAATCTTTGTCTTCTTGACATTGAGCCTCAATCCATATTGAAGGCTGCAGTCTCTGACCCTCAGCAGCAAGCGCTTCAGGTCCTCTTCAGTTTCAGCAAGCAGGGTTGTGTCATCTGCATGACGCAGATTGTTGATAAAACTTCCACCAGTCCTGATGCCGCATTTCTCCTCAGAGAGCCCAGCCTCCCGGATGATCTGTTCTGCATACAGGTTGAAAAGGTATGGAGACAGGACACATCCCTGGCGTACACCCTTCCCAATTTTGAACCAGGCAGTGTTTCTTTGCTCTGTTCTGACTACTGCCTCTTGGTCCAAGTATAGGTTTCTCATTAGCACGATCAAGTGTCTGGGATACCCATTCTTCTCAGAGTCAGCCACAGTCTGTTATGATCCACATAGTCAAATGCCTTTGCATAGTCAATGAAACACACATAAATATTCCTCTGGTATTCCCTGCTTTCAACTAAGATCCATCTAACATCAGCTACAATATCAGTAGTACCATGACCCCTTCTAAACCCAACCTGGACTTCTGGCAGTTCTCTGCTGATGTGCTTTTCCGGTCATTTTTGGATAATCTTCAGTAGAATCTTGCTTGCATGTGCAGTCAGTGATATTGTTCTGTAGTTTCTACACACTGTTGGGTCACCCTTCTTTGGGATGGGAACAAATAGAGATCTTCTCTTGAAAATAAAATGACAGAATTTTTTCCTTTTTTTAAAAAAAAGTGAAATCCAGCTGAAGGTAACAGCATATAACATAAGCAGTAGAAGAACCAAACTGCTGAAAGAATAAAGCCTTAGAGAGTCCCTCACAGTGACATCATCATGGTGTTAATTTGTAGAACATTTAAGCTTAACCTTATGGGGAAGGAATATGTTTTAATGTTGTATTTCTGTGGTTAGAGCTTTACTAGTGTTATTTGTCTTTAGTGGTTGAATTAATTCAAATGCTTGCTACGTGTCAATCATTTTTTAGGTGTGAAACAGAATTCTTGTTTTCTGCAGTAGTTGAGTAGGAAGGAGTTGCTAATCACTCACTTCCTACTGTGTTAAGTGGTATTTATAAATGAGAATTGTCAGGAGAACTTGAAAGGAATGCCTCATAGAGTTCGGTGTTTGTTTGTTTCTTTTTTTTAATTTTATTTTGTGTGTGTGTACGGTCAAATCAGATCTGACTGGTACAGGAGGAGATTGCCCCTCCTTCTCCAGCAGAGCATCTGGTGTATGAGTTTTAATATTCAGGAAAGGCATCGCCTCAATTGAAAAGGCAGAGGAATATGTCAGATGGGAATAGAACAGAAGGAACTCTTGTGTGTTTAGATGAGAATTCAAGATACAGAATAAATAGTAAAGTTGGAACAAGGGACTAAGAGTTGTCAATATTTCACAAGATGATTGCTATTCCAAGAGAAAGAGGATACATTTAGAAGGTAATGACTTTTTTAAAATTTGCACCACCTAAGAACTTCTGGTGGTCTAGAGGGTAAGGAAGAGTTGTTGTACTAAACCCTCAAGGCAGATTGATCAGATCTACCAAAGACTGTGTGGGAGAATGATGAGTAGTCTTTCCCTGTGCATTGGCAGCCTCTGAACCTGCTAGGACAGCATTCAGTTGGTTCTAACTCAGTAGAACATAACAAAGAACTTGAACTTCTAGGTGAAAAAGTTTATTGGCTGGATTAGAGTGGTAGCAGTAAAGATAGAAGATTAATACGGGAATAAAATAGTATGATTTTGTGATTTTGATATACGTGTGAGGTTTAAAATATCTAAAGTAGAGAAGCTGGATTCTGAAGAGGGAGGAGTGTGACATCAGGATTGGAGGGAGACTCATTATGCAGATGACAAAGCTTGCTGAAAGTGAGGATGATTTGAAGCACTTGCTGCAGAAACTCAAGGAATGCAACTTTCAGTATAGATTGCATCTCAGTATCAAGAAAAAAAAGATTCTTAACACTGGTCCAATAGAAGTGTCACGATGAATGGAGAAGAGATTGAAACTGTCAGCAGCTTCATCTTGCTTGAATCTACAATTAACAACCTTGGTACAAGCAGTCAGGAAATAAGGAGCTGCATTGCAATGGGAAAATCTATAGTTTAAGGACCTTTTGAAATTATTGATAGTAGTGATGTCAGTTTGAGGACTAAGGTGCGTCTGATTCAGGCCATGGTCTTTCTGATTACTAGCTATGCATCTGAGACCTGGATAGTGAATAAGAATGACAGAAAAAGAATTGATGCTTTTGAGCTGTGGTGTTGGAGAAGAGCACTGAACATTCCATGGATGGCCAAGAAAATAAATAGATGACTTGGAGAAAGTGCAGCCAGCGTGCTCTTGAGAGGCAAGAATGATGAGGCTTTGACTCACATACTTTGACTTACTGCTAGGAGGTGCTATTCCTTGGGGAGGGACATGATGTTGGTAAGGATGGAGGGTGGTCAGTGAAGGAGAGGAAAACCCTCAACCAGGTGGATTGATAGGGTGACCACTGCAATGGGCTCTTGTGTGTCAGAAAGTGTGAGGATGGTGAAGGACAGGACTAGGTTCAAATCTTTTGTTCATAAGATTGCTTTTTTTTTTAAAAAAAATTATTCTTTTATTATTTTTGTGTGTGAGTGTACCGTCAAATCAGATCTGACTGGTATAGGAGGAGATTGTCCCTCCTTCCCCGGCAGAGCATCTGGTGGATTCAAACCGTGAGCCTCTGGGATTGTAGTTGCAGCTTCTTGTCACTAGGCCACCCGAGCTCCCCTCATAAGGTTGCTTTGAGTCGTGCCTGACTCGATGATGCCTAACAACAATAATGTGTTAAGGGTGAAAGTTGGAGATTATCAGAGGAAAACCTGGTCTTGGTAAAGGATTTACTACTTTAATGACAAAAATTAGTTTAGCTTCCCTGACCTCTTCTACTTTCTTACCTGATGCTTGATGATGTTCGTCCCTAAGGAATTTCAGTAATAAATTATGGCAGTGTACTTGAGTTGATTTCGAGACTTTTTAAAATCTTTGCGAGGAGACTGCTTGCAAAACAGATCCTCTCTAATCTTTTGCTTACAGAGGGTTGGATAGATGGTTGTTTGAGTGAGATTCATCTCAATAGCTGTGGGTTTAAATTATCAGGAGAGTAAAAGAGAACAATCTTAAGATACTTAAAAACTTGATTGAAATAATGATAATTTGATGCTTGTATTATGTGAATTACAGTTAATGCTGTTTTTTATTGTTTTGGGATGTGCTGTATCACTCAGTATTGGTATTATTCCCTTAGACATTTTCTTGGGCATCTGTGACCAGTAAGAATCTCCCGCCCAGTGGAGCCGTTCCAGTTACAGGGATCCCACCTCATGTTGTTAAAGTTCCAGCTTCACAGGTGAGAATATAGTTTCTTAATGTGTATTAGATAAATTTGATTATGGCATTGCAGAGATTTAGAGAATGTGGAACTGGGTAGTTAGTTGAGAGGTGGTTTTTGCGATTGCTTATGAGAGAAGTGTCTTTCTCTAGCTCACTGTTATTAATCTTACTGTTAAGACTTTTTGGAAGAAAAAGGGTGAACCATTTTGGTTTTCATACAGAAGTTAATAGTATGCAAATTTCAGCCACGTCCGGAGACCAAGCCTGAATCTCAGATTCCACCGCAGAGGCCTCAGAGGGATCAAAGAGTGCGAGAACAACGAATAAATATTCCTCCACAGAGGGGTCCTAGACCAAGTGAGAACATCTTTGATTTCTTCTCTCATGTTGAGGGTTTGAGGAGGGAAAACTATTGGCTTTAATTGCTATTATTTGTTTTCACTTTCAAGTTCGTGAGCCTGGTGAGCAAGGTGAGGTTGAACCTCGAAGAATTGTGAGGCACCCTGATAGTCACCAACTCTTCATTGGCAACCTGCCTCATGAAGTGGACAAGTCGGAGCTCAAAGATTTCTTTCAAAGTAGGATATTAAGTTTTACATGTTGAATTTATCTAATGCCTGCTATCCGATAGAAATGAGAAGAGAGCCAAAGTTTTCTAGGAGTAATGTAGAAGTAAAAAGAAATTGCAAAATTTAATTTTATTGATACTTAGCCTAATGAATTTAAAACATTGTTTCACCATATATTTGATATAGCTTACCTTTTTAATATTGTATCTTTGTATTTATAGTTTTACATTATGACACATCTCATTTTGTACTTGGAACATTTGAAATACTCAGTAGCCACATGTGTGAATAACTACAGTATGGAAGAGGGCACATCAAATGTTTAATGGAAAGTTGTGTTTTACTTCCAGATTATGGAAACGTGGTAGAACTTCGAATTAACAGCGGTGGGAAGTTACCAAATTTTGGTTTTGTTGTGTTTGATGACTCTGAACCGGTTCAGAAGGTTCTTAGCAACAGGGTAAGCAGTTTTGCATTGTGTATTTTTGTTTTAAATAGAAGTTACATCTTGGTTATTTTGAATATATTTGCCTTTCTTAAAGTATGAAGTTTTCCAGGACATTTGACAATTTATTCCATGAGGTTCAACTGTTACTGCCAGAAGACCTACCTTGGAGCTTTTTGGGGGAGAAAACCATGAAAAAAAAGTCTATCTAAATAACTTGGTTTTTTTCAAATAATTGATAAGGATGAAAAATTCTTTGTTGTCAGTGTTTCTAATGTAGCGGTAAAACCAGGATAGCATAAGAACTCTTCTGTCTAGGTCAGTTTTGGTCATTGTTTATAAGTACTAAAAGTACAATCTATAAATCATCTTGGTATGAGAGATAAATAGGATACTGGTGGCGCAGTGCTTTTTGTATTTGACTACTAGCCAAAAGGTTCAAACCTACCAATGGCTTTGAGGTAGGAAGATGTAGAATTTTGTGTCCATAACAATATATAGCTTTGGAAACCGTATCGGGGCAGTTCTGTGTTATCCTGTCAGATTGCTGTGAGCCAGAATTAACTTAATGGTAATGACTTTCGGAAGATAAATAATTAACTTACCTAGAATCACTTTTATAGAACTTATTAAGGTGCTTTTTTGTAATGGAAGATCCTGTTAACTGAATAATTAGCAAAACACTTTTACACTTGATCTTAGCCAAAAGGCCGAGAAGTGATGCAAAACACTTTTTTGGATTAGTAGAGAAGAACAAATAATGATAATCTACTGAAATACAGGGGTGAGCCAGTTCCATTTTCTGCAACTGATTTTGATTTGGTTCCCTGATTTGATTTTTGTTTTGTTACGTTCACATACGCATTGTAAACCATGCGACAGATGGAGATCAGTGTTTCCCAGAGGGAACACTTCTCTCTAGAATATTAATGTGTGCACTGTAGTGTAATGTTGAGTTCCTAACACTTGTGCTAATGTGCATTATAAGTTCTACTTTTCTAACAGATTTTTTAAAAGGATGTTACATAATTTATATATAACACCCATTTTTATGACACTTTTGCTCAACTCTGACAAATGAGGAATAAAGAGTGATTTACCCCACTCAGAAATGTTCAGTAGGCTTTACGGTCTAATGGATTTGTCCTTAACTCAAGATATAGCAGGTTAAGTGGGCAGCATTTTTGGTTTGACCTTAAATTCATATTTCCTTATAATTTCAGTAAGCCAAGCAAGATAGAGAGCTCTGGTGGCCTAGTGGCAAAAAGGTGTGCTGTAATTCTGAAGGCACATGGTTTGAGGACACCAACTGCTTCCTGGGAGAAGGATGGGCTATCTAATTGCCTCTGAAAGCCCACCAGAGGGTTAGCTATTGGTTGGTTCTGATTCTATGGTACCCAACAAGAGCAAGCAAGATGAGACCTGCTAATGGGTTTGTTTGCCTGCTAATTCCTTTAAAATTAAGAGTTTCATTTAATTCATGTGACTTGTAGAGTATCTTTTGCTACTTATGCTATTTATGTATTGTACCTTTTTTTGATTAAATAATGAAGTAAGTTTAAGTCAAAAGCTTTTCAAACAATTTTGGTTTCTTTGTTTTTGATCACTTGTGGAACAGACCACCAACTACTCATATGCAAATTCAAGCTAAAGCTGAGGAAAATTAAACCAAATCCAAGGCAACCAAAATAT